AACCAAGGTGGTTGGTGTGAGTGGTTCGGCACTCTCATTCCTTAAGAGAAGGTCAGGGGTTCGATCCCTGCTCTCGTATGGAGTCACCACTTTGGCCAGCACTTTACCCCTTACGGGCCGACCCGGTGTGAGCGGGGATTAGTCTGGGTTGTGGTTAAGGCTTAAAGGTGCCACCCATAGTTGGGGCCCATCCAGGACCACCTCGTGGTTCAAACCAAAAAAAATACACACTTAAGATTAAGAAGATGAAGAAATTATTTTTGAAGAACGTTCCAAAATGTACCATGCATATGAACTTGAGAAGGTAGGGCCAAGGATGTCTATATATGTTTGGAACAAAAAAAAGGGGGATGTCTATATATGTAATGTATTGTACGGTTTAGTGCTGTGGAAAGCTGTGCACGCACCAACAACAACGTGGAAGACGTCAAGGATCTATTTTGTTGTTTCAAAAGTGCCAAACTTTTCTTCTTCTGCTTTTTTGGTTTTAAAAAGAAGTGCCAAACTCGGTTTGGCATACAACCCTCTCACTTACCAGACATGCACGAGGGAGCATAAGGACACAAATATGACAAGAGACCAAATTGTGTTAGTTTGGCCTCATACAAACTATTTGTTGAATGGCACAAGTCACATGCTTACCTTAGGCAAATTTTTGTAATTTGCTAAGTGAATTTTGTGCAAATCAATGAGAATGATATAATATGAACATGATGCATCATATTAACTAATTAATTATGAGTTTAGCGATACTTTTCTTTCTAAAATTGAACCTGTCAATTTTATATATTCTTGTGACTTGTTTTGTCCTCGTTCTAAAACTGTCATCCTAACTTAGATGCAATTGCATAATAGGAAGCCAAGTAACCCCAACTTGTAGCTTTGCTGGGTTGTCCTTTCAACATCCTTCTTTTCCTAATCTTCATGTGCCTCCATATTCACCAAATAAAATTGGCAATGATTAGTCATCCTCTCAATTACCATAAGAAATAAGGGAGTCTCACTATTATGCCAATATAGGGGCCCAAATTATATATATATATAAAAACCCATACATAAAATGAACATTAGAAACACATACAAAGCTCATTTACAACATAACAAATAGGCTTCAAACCTACCATCGATTTCTTAAAACAAGCCCAACTCCAAAATCTCGTTAAAAATCCCAAAAACACTCAATAAGACATTAAAGTAATTTAATAATAAAAATTAAATTCAACAGGGCCAACTGCCCTTTTTTGAGTTTGTTTATAGAAATTAAATGGTGTCGGATTTATTTATATCACTAGTGCTAAAAATGTGTATATAACAAAAAGAAATAAAGGAAATCTAAGAAGAAGAAAAAATAACTTGTTTTTTTTTTTTTTTAAATAATGACTCTCCTCGCATTATATTTTGGAGCTTGTCTTTTTGATGTGACCAAACTTCGTTAAGAAATAAAAAAATTGCAGTCGACTTTATGTCAAATTAAATTGCCTTGAATAGCATTGACTCACAATTTATATTTGTTTATATCAATTTTATATAGTTTTATTTTTCTTTGATAGTTCACTTTGACATACTTTGGCCATTTTATATGACTTTAATTATAGTGGTAGGTTTCTCGAGCTCTTAACTTACGGCAGAAAAGGTTGTTCACATAGACACTAAACGATTCCTCCACAGAGACACGGGACGGGAGAGATTGATTTCAATGTTTTTTTGCTTTTTTCTTTTTGCTATTGATGTCGATATTGACTCGGTGTTTTGGCGTATGCAAATGTGAAAAAATAGCATATATTTCAATCCTCAAACCTTGACAAAGATGACCAATTTGTTTACTTATGTATTTAAAAAATTCATATACACAAGACCAATTTTTTATAGTTTGATTTGATTTCGGGTCAAGCTTCAAAAGTAGAACATCCATGGTAATAGTTCGACTCTTCTTACCTTCAATCACAAGTTTTTTATAAAAAAAAACTATTTCTATGTCAAATACTTGGCATCCCAAATCAGGTATCGTGTCATACGTATGACACACGCATACAACATCTTTTAATTAGGATTTCCCCTTTTAAGAAATTATTGATAAGGGACTTGGAGGTTTTTATGCATAATCTTATTACAAATTTGAGTTATGAAAATCTTAACCCTAGGTTTTTTTGGGGGAGGGGGTTGGTTGAAGAAATCTTTCCTAGCTCATACAACTTCTATTTGTCACTTTTCAACTTTTCCTTTCTTTCTATTTTCCAAAACATTGACTTTATTGCAAGAGAATCTTTGGACAACATTCATACAGAGTTTCCCTCACGCTAATAATTTTGATATTCTAGATGCATTTTCTTCACTTCTGAAATTCCAAGTTCCAAACCTATTCAAAGTGAGGCTGTTTTGAAGTCCAAATTTTTTAAAAACACATTGGCCTTCGTCAACTATTTTCTTTTTTACTTTGTTGTGATGGTATTATTATCCATTTCGAATATAAAAAAAGCTACCGGCACTAACCGGTTTTGTGAAACACAATTGTCATCCACAATAGTAATTAACAATTTACATATATATATATATATATATATTCATTTCAATCAACGACTATTAGTCGTACACGATCTATCTTTGTCCAAATAAAAAACCTTATAAAAATATTCATAATAAGAAAAGTTCAATTCAAGGCAAAGCCCATATACTCGTGGCTGGACAGCAGCTTAGATTCATCATTCTTCCCTTATCTACCAACATAAATTCCCCTAAATAATATGGGACCTGAAGCTCAGATTTGCTACACTCATACATACCCTACCTACCAAACCCACTTGGCCATAATCAAATGATGTATGTTATGTGGTTTGGTCTCGCTGTCACCAAATGCTCCATGTTATATTGACAAGATCATTTCCATCTGGCCATTAGATCACTTGTGGGTCCCCCCAGCTGGTCCATCTGATACCTTCAAATCCAACCCTATTGCCCATTATGCCTCCTCTCCCACTAAAGTATTCCAATTTCACAATCAAATTTATATAAAATAATTATTAAAAAAAGTACCAAATTATTCAGAGAAGCTTCCTTGCATTAAAATACAGGGCAAATGCATGTAGGGCAAATGCTGTCTCCACTAAAGTATAGGGCAAATGCGTGAGAGCTTATCAATTGGCACATGATAGTGTTTGCGCTGTGTAGGGACATATAGGTAATTATAATATGTCCTACAAGGGACCAAATTGGACACGTGTCAGCTACCTGTGGTGAAAGGTGTAAACTTTATTTTGCTAATTATTGTGGGAGCTTGGCGTAGATGCGTCTGTTTGCTTTTCAAAAGGGGATTTTGCATACTATTCTACTTTACTGAAATCAAAACAGGTTTTTCCCGGTTTCCGGTTACACAGAAAAAGGTGAACTTTTGAAACAAGTGAGAAGCCGAGAAACTGGTTTGGACTTTGGAGGCTTTTGCTGTAACGGGCAGTTATACAATGGCTCTTCAACCAGGTAACTCTCTCTCTCTCTCTCTCTCTCTCTTAGTTGCTGCAAAATGTGAGTTCTTTCATGTGTTTTCTTTCTTATTAGTGTTTCAGAAAAGCTTGAGCTTGAGCTTGAGCTTGCATGGTTGTTTTGGTGGGTTTGTTGTAGTCATGTAAAATTTTTAATCTTTGGGTTATGGGATTTATGCTTATACATGGGGTTTTGCTTTTCTTGCGTATCTTTTTTCTTGGGCTTTCAATTTTACTGGTCAATACATATTATGCTTCGTTTTGAATGGTTAAGGTATTTTGACTTTGGGTTAGAAAACATTTAAGGTGGTGGATGAGCCTATGCCTGTTTGAACTGTAAATTCATTTCTGGATTTGTTTGTCAAATTTGAGAGGTGGACTTGTTTCAATAGCATTGATGCTTAACACCCAACAGAAAGAAACTCATGTGGGATTAATGCCCGGAACCAAATGGGATTTCTGAAATTTATCTGAAATTTGATCAGTTTATGTTATGCAGTAGGTGATTGATGCCGAACGTTGCGGTTTGTGCGAAGTAAAGAGCTTATGATCTGAAACCATATCGTGCATCATGAGTATATGACTATATGACGTGGGAAGCTTCTTTTGGATGTAGATTTTGAGCATGGGTTTTTTTCCAGAGGACCCTTTTGCAAATGGTCTTAACTTTGTTCTAAGAACCAGGCTAATTACCATGCTGAATTGTGATATTGAGAGTTAAGGATACTGTTGGGTTATGGACACAGCCAACAACAATGATACTAGCCAGCCTTCAAACCAATTCTGCAATTCTTACAGAGTGGCAAGCCTTTTTGACACAATTCTGGAAGCATCCCAAGTGGCAAATTTGAAAGACCGGTATATTCTGGGTGAGCAATTAGGATGGGGACAGTTTGGTGTCATTAGGGCATGCTCTGATAAGTTTACTGGTGAGGTTTTAGCTTGCAAGTCTATTGCCAAAGATAAATTGGTCACACATGATGATGCACGCAGCATCAAGCTTGAGATTGAAATATTGTCTAGGTTGTCTGGGCATCCGAATGTTGTAAATCTCAAGGCAGTTTATGAGGAGGAAAATTATGTGCATTTATTGATGGAGTTATGCGCTGGAGGGGAGCTTTTTCACCGCCTTGAGAAGCAGGGAAGATTCTCAGAAACTGATGCTCAGGTTCTTTTTAGACATCTGATGCAAGTTGTTAAGTATTGCCATGAGAATGGCGTTGTTCATAGAGATTTGAAACCGGAAAACATTCTCTTGGCTACAACTTCTTCATCCTCACCAATTAAGTTGGCAGACTTTGGTCTTGCAACCTACATCAAACCTGGTGATTTTTTTTTAAATCTCATCTTCTTACATTTTTATATTTAGGTCTTTCTACCAGACTTACATATCTATATCATTTTTATCCACCTGGATGTTTTGTATCAACAGGGAAGAAATTGCATGGGACTGTTGGAAGTCCATTTTACATAGCTCCTGAGGTGCTTACAGGAGGTTATGACCAGTCTGCTGATGTATGGAGTGCTGGAGTTATTTTGTACATTCTTCTTAGTGGGATACCTCCTTTCTGGGGTAAGACTAAGTCAAGAATATTTGATGCTGTAAGGGCTGCGGATCTATGGTTCCCTCCGGATCCTTGGGGTCATATATCTGTGTCCGCCAAGGACTTGATTGCTGACATGCTTTGCGTTGATCCTTCCAGGAGGCTCACAGCTGCACAGGTTTTAGGTACGTCACTGTGTCATTGTTAAATTTTATAGTCTGTACCCTGTATCTGTAATAATCACTTATGGTGTGTTTGGATGAGAAAAATAAACTTGGAATTTTGATAAAAAACAAAATTTATGAAATGACGTGCTAATTTCCTTGTTTGGGTTCATAAACATAGACATTAATAAATTCTATGTGGAAATAAACTTGGCATTTGTGGCTCATGAATTCCAACTTGAAATTCTACCTGAGAATGTGTTATTTCCAAAATCCCACAATAATGAAAGGTTTTAAAGATAAACTTTAGATTCTGTAATGAAATTCCATTACGATGCCTAATAGGTTTCCGAAACAAGAACTTTGAATCTCATATTTTAAATTTCATCTTTTAAACATTCCTTAATACTCTTAAACTCCACGCATCCAAACGCACCGTAAAAGACTCCATATCATTTCTCTGTATTCAGAAGCTAAACTTGTGGTTTAGGATATGATTAAATAAAATTTGCTCTATAATTTGAAGTTGAATTTTTGGACAGTAGCGACACAATTATGTGCTTTGGACTCTAGTGCTTATCATTGATATTATTATTAATTTTTTAATTTTATTTTAGAACGAGAGGAGAGAAAAAAGGGGGGTGGTGGGTGGGTGGAGTACGGTTATAATCAACTTTCCTGCAAGTTATTAAATTTACAAATTCGTCAATCTTGAGTTGGCAGTGCATTTAAGCAGTTTATTTTTCAATTTGATTAATCCAACACAAGAATTTAATCCTCTAGAAACTGTCCATGAAAAGGCATCATCCACGTCTTCACATTGCTCGAATATTGATTCTAGACCTTTATTCCAAGTTCTGTTCTTAATAGTGTTTGGTAATGCAGCTCATCCATGGTTGCAAAGTTGTGCATGTGCGAGTAACGAGACGTACAAGCAGGACAACCAAGTTTGCAGACAACTGGAAGTGGGTGGAGGTTCTTTCTCTACCCCATTTATTGATAGGAATCAGGACTTTAGCTTCAGTGATGGGTCACCCACAGCTGGTGATGTGGAACTGTGGCAATCACCTGCATTCACGTGCAAATCATCTTTCTCTACTTTCCTAGTAGGCAATAGTAGTCTTTGCCCTGCATCTGGAGGCTTTTCTTTCAGCAGCTGCTATGAACCAAGTGCAGCTGAGTTTTCTTCACCAGTTCCATCAATGCCAAGCTTTACCTTCTTCAGTCCAAGTGCTTCAGTAGCGCAAGGAGATATATCATTGAGATTTACAACCAATATATCCATGTTGGATGCAAGTTATGGAGGTAAACATTTCCTTTTTCCTGGCTCATTTGTTTATTCAAGGAGGCTGGCTATAATAGCAAAATAATAGATTAATGTTTATAGCTTTCGGCATGTCTCATTGTGGTCTTAATGCAGTACTAATTCAAAACTCTGCATTATACATTTAGCTCCCTTGTTTCAGGAAACTGATATATAGCTTTCCTTAAAATCCTTCATTGGTTTCTTTCTGTTTGGATATGCAGAGTCAAGTGCAGAGAAGCTGTTAGTGCTGTCAGATTGCTCGCCTGTTAAGCATGACGGTGAAGAAATAGAGCGCAAAGAATTCCGGAGAGGTGGAACAAATGGGTCGTCTAGGGCTGCTGGGATCCACAGTAAGAGGAACCACACAATTGGACATGGTGAGTTTGATCAGCTAAATCTCGTTATGACTGAATCAGTCATCCGTTGGGCATCATGCACGCAAATTCCCACCGTTCCATCTCTTAGATTGTCACTTGTCTGCTAGAAGACTGGTTCAAGTGTCTAGACCAGCCATGAGGGGCACATAATTTATAACATACTGATACGCCTAATGTAAAATGGGACATACACAAATTCGTGGAGGGTCTGTTTGATCTGAAGAGCTGAACTCTCTGGTGTATGTATAGAGGCCTCTTTGCGTTAATTTTGTGGTGCAAAAGATAGGGTGACGATGCTTTTCTAGTTTTTAAAGTTGATTTTCTAAATGTTGTGTAGAACATTAAAATGTATGTGACAGACCATAAAAAGAAAAAGAAAGAAAAAAAGTCAAATGGCTTCTGATTAGTTATTCAAGAATATTTATATTTAAATTTCAGTCTAAGTACATACCATTTGGTTTAGTAGGCTCACTTCAATGTTAATAAACAATTAAGAAAGAGAAAAAAGGAGATCTTGATAATTAATTTATGCTGTGCTCGTTAACAAATCAAGCAAAAATTATAAAATATGCGTCTGCCGGGAGTCGAACCCGGGTCTATTGCTTGGAAGGCAATTATCCTAACCGTTGGACTACAAACGCAATACAGGAAAATAATCCCCCGTTTCTTATATAACTGATAACGGCTTAAACTTCAACAGCTCAAACAAGCCCTGAGACGCTTAAAGGTAAAATACCTTACCCAAACCTTAAGAAAATTAGTTAAACAAACACCAAAAAAGTTACAATTTTCCTGTATTTATTTTTCTTCAGTTTTCTGACAAACCAAACACAGTATTAACTTCAAAGGAGATGATGGGTTCAAGTTCAAGCGTTTATCTTTAGTTGTCTTCTTGTTGTTGATATACATATTGGGCTTATTGAGCTCGTTTGGTGTCTAGAATTGGATTGGATAAGCCACTTAATCTAAAGTATGTTGAAGGAAGAAATGAAAGTAGAGGTAAATGATTTTCTATTTTATAAAAAAAAAAATTTTGGTCAAATCATTTTGGTGGGATTAAGAGTGACAAGTTATAAGGCGGTGTTATTCGGATCCAAGTTTTTTTCATGAGTAATCCATTTCTACCTTCAACTTGGTCAAAAAATTTCATTTCTTCTACGTACTTTAAACATAGGGAATTATCCAATCTATTACTAGGTACTTGCATGAGTAATCCATTTCTACCTTCAACTCGGTCAAAAAATTTCATTTCTTCAACGTACTTTAAAGTTTAAACATAGGGAATTATCCAATCTATTACTAGGCACCAAACGAGCCCTGCTAGGAACCCCTTTGCTTCCTTCTCTCTAATACTGTGAGATACACGCGCAGTTGGCAAGTCAAAAAATATATTTTGCAGAAAAGAAGAGCACCAACCTTGCACATGGACTTAAACCCACAACATGCATAACAAGTATGGAGGGGACATTCAAGGACAAAAAGTTGGCCCAGTAATTGCATATGGTCATACAGCAATTGACGGGTAATGGGATAAAGAGCGTAAAGTACAGCTTTGCAGCAACACATAAGCACTATCATTCTTCTCTTATGGTACAAGATTGGTAGCCCCTTGAAGATACACACTAACTTTATTGAGACTAACATAAAAAAGGACCCTCCGCTCGATTCGGAGATTCAAGAAAAGAGCCAGCTAACAAAGCTGCCCTTGCAAAATTCAAAAATAACAATGAATTTTTTTTTTGAATCCTTTCTAGTAGTACACTATTACATTGTTGTAGCTCACGGTACAGTACTGCAACTCGCTTTCAGGATGCAGGGGCATATTCTTGGATTGCTGTGGCCAGTTTGTTTCTATCCTCCTCTGTTTTCAACCTAATCAAGAAGGTACGCGCCACAGCACTACCATCATTTCCATCACCTTCGCCCTACAAAAGCCAAGGGAAATTGCAATCATTGTTGCATTACATGAATTACAAGTTGTGCATAAGTCAGTTAAGCCCCACTACTAATCGAGACACGATGATATCTTTTTGTTTTTAAAGATTTATTTTACATATAAGCAGGTTAAAAAGAATTCAATTCTCTAAAATTCTTTAATCAGACGCATACACTGGTTTTTTTTTTTTTTTTCCCCAAAACGAATAAAAACCATAATACTGTGATACACAAAAATAATTAT